GGTGGCCTAGGGCAGCAGCTCTAAAACGTGGGTGGGCATCATAATTACCCAAGGGACCTGGTTTAAATACCACAGCTTCTTAGGTTGTAGCCTCTGAGATTCTGATTAAAGAGGCCTGAAGAGCAGCCTAGAGTTGATAACGTTTTTAATAAGATGCAGCCAGACTGGAAACTGCTGATCTGAGGATAAGAGCCCTCTGATTCTCAAGTGCTATACTATGTACCTGATTCCTTCTGGCTTATTCCCTAGACTTCATCACAAAGTGCTTCTCTCTCAGAAGGGTCCATCCTGGGGGTGCCTGGGTGGCTCAATCGGTTGAGCGTCTGACTTTGGCTCAGGTCGATATCATGGTTCATGGGTTGAGCTCCACGTTGGGCTCGCTGCTGTCAGAGCCTGCTTCGGATCCTTGGCCCCCCTCTCTCTGCCCCTCCCCAGCTTGCACTCTCTCTCAAAAAATAAATTTTAAAAACATAAAAAAAAAAAGAAAGGTCCATCCTGGTATGCACAAAACCCCCCACACTTGAGACTGAGTCATGACACTTTTTGTCAAGAGAAAGCTCCCTCGGAATCCTCACACATGTAGTGACAATAACTACAGTAATGGTAGCAGCTCCCGTCACTGAACCACTGTTAGCACAGGCCTTGTTCTGGGAGCTTGATAAGCACCGGTCCATTGAACCAGCACAGTAGGCCAGTGCTGACTGATACCGCTGGTACTGACTGACTTGGGTTGACATAAGCACCAATCAAGAGTGTTAGAAGGATGTCAGATAGCTTATAGAATTTCCAGCAAAGGTGAAGAGCTGGTTTAGACACAGGTAGTAACCAGGCCTGGAGACTGGGTGACAGGATTTCTCATCATTTCTTCACTGTCAGGATACTGTAGCTGCAAAGATGGGCTCTACTTTTATTATTATTATTTTTTAAATTAATATGCAAATTCTAGGAAATTTGTATCTGACTTTCTAGGTCATAAATCTGGCTACTTGGCTGACTGCGGGTAGGGCACCTTCATGGAGAGTTCTAGCAGACAGTAAGCATTGGGGAGATTTTGTTCCCTGAAAGGAAGTTGGGGTACTATGACCCAAAGACAATGACATGCATCGTGGGCAATGAAGAACCAAAAAATGTCTCCCACAGTTATTATCCCCATCTGTTAGAAGAGCAAATTGAGGAGATCAAGCTTTAATCTGCCCAAGGTTACCCAATCCAGCCAGGATCTGAACCCAGGCAACCCTGAGTCCTGGGTCCAACCTCTATAAGTCTCTTTCTTTTTCTGCTTTCCACATACTCTTCCCTTTCTTGATTCTTAGGGACCAGAGCTGTGTCTGCTGCAGAACCCAGTGCCACAAGCTTACAGCATAAGGCTAGCACTTGCATCTGTGAGGACAGCCTGAGTCCTGGGCCAGATGGAAGAGAACCAAGCAGAAGGGGAGGGGTGAAGAAGTATGCCAAGACTCTGAGAAAAAGAAGGTCTTTCCTACAGACTGACTACACTTGTCAGGTCTCCTTTCCCCTGGTGCCATCAGCCTCCCTGGAGAGTGTGGATGATGTGTGCTACTACGACAGGGAGCCCTATCTGGCCCTCGGAGCACCCTCCCCAACTGTGTCCTCTCTGCAGGACATGCAAGGTGAGCCTGGCCTCCTGGAGACCAAGGCCCTGGGGCTGCTGGGTCCCTTGAGGCAGACCAAGAGCAAAAACCCAGCCTCCCGAGTCATGGAGATGGAGCCCGAGACCATGGAAACCAAGTCAGTTATCGACTCTCGAGTGTCTTCTATTTCTGCCATTCGCCTCCGGATTGACCCCAACCATAAAGATAGTTCTGGGGTTGCCCCCCTGACTGCCACTGTTGCCACTTCCCCAGCCAGCACCCCTCACTGTTCCAGCCCAGGCTCATCTGGCCTAGATACTGCTCAGGCAGAGCCTTCCCATGCCGGGTCTCCACTTCAACACTCGGATGCCAGTGTCCCCAAAGAACTCACCCTAGAGCTTGGGGACAGCAACTCCTCCCTCTCTAGTGCTGACCCAGACCCAAATAGAGTCTGCCTGACCGTCAGCCCAGGGCCACATAAGGTCTCTCAAGCAGACACACTAGAGTTGGGAGGGGTCCAATTGGAAACGGGACTGGGATCTTTGTTTACAAATCCTATGCAAGAAACTGCCCCCAAATACACAGAGCCTTTGTTGCCTCCTCCTCTAGTCAGGCCTGGAAGTGGTGAATGTGGGATAAATTCAGGAGAGAAGATGGCTTCTTTCCCTACAGAAGAGGAACAACAAGGACAGCTATCTCTGGGACATGATGGAGAAGTTACAAACAAAAACGGCACCAATTTATTTCGTGATGAATCTGGGAAAGATTCAAGTGACTCCAAGAGTGACCTGTCGAATGCTGTGCCACAGACTATTGGGGTCAATGCTCCAGCTGGTGGAATGAGAACCTCCCTCTCCTTGAAGACTCCTGTAACAGGAACTGAGCAGATCCTGCCACATTCCCCCACGGGTCCCCAAGGACAAAGCAGAGAAACCCCAGGCCAAGCCTGCCAGGCCCAAGAGCAAAAACTATTGGAAGAGCTGGATTTAGACCCCGATTTCTTGCTTGGGGACCAGACCATTCCATCAGCCTTCCCTCTGGAGGGGGTCAAGGCAGAGCCACTTAACCACATGATAGGGGAAGAGATAGCCTCTCGGGACACTCCTCAGCAGATCTGCTTTAATCCAGCTCCTTCTCTGCCAAAGCCACTACCGGGTCCCCCAAAGGAGCCCCACTTAGAAGGTTCAAACCATTGTTCACTGTCAGAAAACAAAGACAAAAGTCCTAGCGTCTGCCTTCCTGCTGAGAAGTCTTTCCTGTGCTTTGCCCCAGAAAGCCATCCTAAAGTTTCTGCCAGTCTCAGGATGGCCACATCTTTGGGGTTTGTGGGTGTGAATGAGACAATGGCCCCCAGGATTGGGATGGAGCAGTGCAGCTGCCAGTTCTCCTATGCCACGTGCTTCCGTGGCCTGCAGCCAGAAGCAGAGGAAGAAGACCGGGCCTTGGAAGCACACCCCACTGCCCCCCTCACGTCGCCGCCCTCTTCAGGAAGCCGGCTGGCCCTCCCCTGGAGGCCTGCCCGGGCCCGCAGCTGCAGTGCGGAGCCCCTGTCGAGGAATAGCCACATCTGGCCAGAATACTGCTCCAGGGCCCTGAGACAGCTGAGAGCTGCCCCTGCCAGCACCCCGGAGGGCTTTAGCCAACTCACAGAGAGCTTACTGGAATTACAAGATATTTTAGAAGCTTCCTGGGTGAATGGGAACAAACATCCCCCAGAGAAGTGCACCTGGCACTTTTCAGAAAGCCGGAGCCGCCTCTGCATGGGTTCCCAGAAGCTCCTGGCGAGCTGTCAACATGTGATCAGAATGGACCAGTCCCCCGAAGAGATGCAGGGTGCCGTGCAGGACACCTTCCAGCACCTGGTCCAGCTGGCCGGCCTGTGCTTCCAGTTCACAGACTGCAGCCGCTGTTCCACTCGGCACAGGGAAGCAGCAGGGAACCTGAGGGACGTGGTGTGCGCCTACCATCAGTTCGTAGAGGCTGCTAGGCTGACCTGTGAGAGAGGCTACCACGACCTGAGTGTGAAACTCTTGGCCCGTCAGTGCACGGCTCTCACGGCTGCTGTGTTTTGTTTGACCCAGAAGTTCCGAGCATCCACTGCCCTGTGAGCAGGCCGGTTGCCCAGGCCCCTGCCTTGCCCTGGGCACTTCCCTGAGAAGCTCCTCCATTCCTCCACCACCCCTCCAAAATGTTTACTAGAGTATTCAAATAAACTGCTGCTTAATCCTGACCTGAATCATACAGAGTGATAAGTTTGGTTCAAAAGCATTCACTCATGTTCATTCAACAAACATTTCACTGAATACCTCCTCTGGGTCAGGCCACGTGCTAGGTCCTTAGGATAGAAAGGTGAATTAGACAAATCCCTGCCCCTGGTCAGGATTCTCACAGACCCTCGGGGGGATGCAGATAAGTAGCTTGCCATCAGTAAACTGTGCCCTAATAGTTTACCCTGGGGATGTGGAAACAGGAGGAATTCACAGACTGTCCCAGGATGACAGGGATGAGGGAGGAAGGTGGGGATCACTGAAAAATGGTCTTGACTTCGCGTATCACACTGATTTGGCAATAACCTTCACAAACAGGAGTGAATACATGTGATATTTGATAGATTTTACCTTCACAAGGTTTGGTTTGCGGCACCTGCACCTGCAGGCCTGGTATTCTTGGCTGCCTGGCTATGACAAGCATAGGTTGCCACTAGGTGGCAGTTAAATTCCTTAGTTGCATGGTGACCCACATCCAGGAGTGGGTGCTCTGTGCTTTATCTCAAATTGACTGAATGCTGCACCCTTTTTCTCTGGTAAATACCTGTAAAGGCAAACATAAAGCCCTGAATTCAATTTGCCTTTTTAGGAATAATATTAGAGGGAAAGAAATATATTTAGTACCTTTCTCACTGATCCCAATTAAACCAGTTAATCCCAGTTAATCTTAGTGGGACGTTGGACAAGCTACTTAACCACTCAGTGCTTTGGTTTTCTCTTCTCTAAATGTTAATAGTTCCTGCTTTGTTGGGTAGAAATCTAATACATAATCTAGTAAATACTCAGTAAAATTCAGTAGTAATCCCCAAACTTTATGGATGCCTCTCCTAGTGTGAAACCATTTCCTACATTTTGTTTCCAGACTCCAGGAAAACTGATCTCAAGATACCCCTGGGATCTTTTTCCCCCTGGATTCTCTGTCCAGGCCAAAGCTGGCTTAGACAGCCACCTTGGGCTATTAGAGCTTGTTCAAGGGGGCCCTTTGTCCCTCTGGTACTCCTGATCAGTTGTGTGTCTGCACTGGCCTCCCAATTCCTCTCCTTCACCCAGAACAAGAGGAAAGCAATATTTTGGGAGACGAGAAGATATCTTTCTCACCCCTTGTTACCAGTTATTTGTTAACTAACCAGTGAACCAGTACTTGTGCCAGGAAAAGATTTATTTTCTTAGAGGCCTGTTTCTTTTCACATAATATTTTGAATAAAATTTGAATAAGGCTCTCGAACATAGATTTGTAGTGATTGTGTGGCCATGAATAACAGGAACAATAGGACGCTGAAAAAATAAAAATTGTATAATGTTAAACAGGACTTGAACACTTTTACCAGCAGAAAGCTCTGAAGAGCTATGTAGCTTATTTACATGAACGTAATCTGTATGTTTGCAAGTTTAAAGCAAGGAGCTTAGGACTTCAACTTAACCAGAGCTGGAATCCTGGCGATGTTGTTACAGGCACCATGCTGGGCCTCAGTTTCCCCAACTGACAAAAGGAAATAGTACTCGTCTCATTTAGTGAGGGCCTACAGTGTGCCAGATGCCTTACTTACATACCTCAAATACATTTTCTTATTAATGGGGACAACACCCCAAACTAGAGATTGTTATGTAATACACATTTGGCATATTGTGAGAAATAATAGTGGAAGGCGGGAAGAAGACTGTGAAGCCTCTGGCACGGGCACTCAAATGTTTATGTCTGTCTGTCTTTGCTTCCTCTCCCCTCAACTCCATGAACTTTCTTGGGCTGCTACTGTATGGAGTTAGTATTTTGCTCTGCACTAAGTCCCAGAAGTTCCAGGAAATCCCTCACTGCTTGTTGAGAAGCTAAAATGAGGGGAGTGGGGGCTGGTCCTCTTTAGCACCTTTTTTGAGATACACCACCCCCAACATGAATAGGCAGAATGGGATGCAATGCAAGAGCCAATTGTTTAGTGACTAGGAAACTACCAGACATTTACACTCCTTCCTTTTCCCACTCACCATAATATTGGCTGATTCGTTTCTTAGACAAACATTTGTTACAACCGTTGCAGGTGATGCCTGATGTGGGATTATGGATGTAAATAATTGGGTAAGAATCCTGTCTTCAAGAGCTCCTCGTCTAAGAGATAAGATGACATGTAGAGATAGAAACCTACAAATATAAGGTATGGTCTGCTCAGGGTGACCAAAGAGGACAGATAAGGTGCTAGGAGAGCTCAAAAGACAGAAGTCATTTTGTGGTTGGGGACAGAGTGGTGATCGTGGAAGGCTTCCTGTAGGAAGCAGCATTAATTAGAAGTAGCTACTGAGCATCAGGTCCTAGATTTGGTAGATAGGAAGGTAAGTTTGGAATGTGTTAAGAAAGGAGAAAAATCACTCATTTAGTGATTCTGTCAACACATATTTAGTGTGCAGTGGCACTGGGAATTAAATCATCAACATGATACATGTTCCCTCAGGAACTTATAACTAGTAGGAAAGACACAGAAAAAAATAAAAAGATTACTGACTGATAGGTCATGTAAAGAAATGAAGAGTGCCAAGACAGGGATGGGATGAGCCAATCTTACCTGGGTGATCAGTAAAGGTCTCTCTAAAGAGGGAAGGTTTAAGCTGAAGCCTAAAGGATAGGAAGGAGCCAGCCAATGGAAAAAGTGAGAGGAAAGGGAACAGACTCTGCAGAGGGCCTTGGTATATTTGAAGCATTTCAAGAAGACAGGTGTGACTGGAACACAGCAAGCCAGAGGAAGAATGATAGGATGAGTTTCGACGGGCAGCCAGGAACCAGGTGGGGAACGCCTTGGGAAGGTTAGACTTCACATCCAAGTACAATGGAAAGCCACTAGGGTTTGGAAAAGGGAGACACATAATCATCTGACAAACAGATATCTGCTGCGTGGTGGGAGTAGGGGGTGGGGGGGGGGTGGTCAGTGAGACCAGCTAAGAGGACTTTTCTGGGGGGTGGCCATGGGCTCATTCAAAGGTGAAGAGACACAAGAGCAGTGGCAGGGAGAGAGGAAAATTATCCAGTTGGGCTGAGGGCAAAGTGCAGGGACTGGTAGGTGTGGTGGGAGCCACTGAAGATCCTTTGAGCCACTCTGCAAGCCCTACTGATTGGGAAGCCAGCACTAGCTTCTGAGCAGAGAAGAGATGTTAGAGCTGGGTTTTAGGGAAAAGCCCTCTGGGGGATAAAGAATGTTTACTTTTAACATTTAAATTGCTCCAGTAGCAGATAAAGGATGGACTGAAGGATTAGGGACGGGGTGGGGGTGCTGGAGGATCTATGAAAAGAAAAGGCCAGAGAGGGAAACAGTATGGGGCCAAGGAGGGATCCAACAGGGCTGTGGTTTCTTGGGTGGGAGATAGTTCAGGCTCTTACATGCTAAGGTCTCTTCCAAAGGGTGAGACCGCTGGGATAGCAGGAATAAAGGGAAGAGTAAAGAGTGACTGTTGGTTTTTATCAGGTCAAGGCTTGGGCCAGTCTCTTCAGGGTCTCTGAGCCTCGCTTTCCCCCTGGGTCTGTAAGGGGAGAAGGAGAAGGGAGAGTGGCCAGAGGCTAGACTCACTTGTTAAGGGCCCAAGCCCGAATATCTCTATTGTCTGCCTAAACAGCCAGGTGGTGGTGAGGGCAGCGGTGTGCTCAGGGAAGCCTGTGTCAGTTCGTGGGCTCTGCTGGTTGTAGGGGGTCCAAGGGAGGGCAAGACCCCCCGGTTGTGAGAAGAGGGGTGGTTCCAGCCCGGTTTCAGCCCAGTTTCCCAATGCCCAGCCCTTGAGAACCATCAAAGCCTCGGGTTACCTGCCGCAGCCTGCGAAAGTGGCGAGCGGCGGGTATCGTAATCCCCGTCTCACAACCGAGGAAACAGGTTCAGGCAGGCGCAGCAATACCTGGGCGGTACGCAGCCCCTTAGTGCCAGTGTAGGTGGAAGGCAAAGCCTCCCACTGGCTCCGGCACACCAAGCTACCAGGCTGAAAACCACAACTCCCAGACTGCCACGCGGAGGGGGGCAGGAACCGGAAGTTGGCCCGGAGGCGGGGCCTGACGTGCGCCGCCGAGACTGCGCGAGGCGAGGGATTCAGGTACGCCTGGGACTCGTTGGGTGGACGGACGTGGGGCCAAAGGGGTCTGACTTGGGGCTGCCGCCTGGTTCGTAGGTGGGACAGATGCCGGGAAGCAACCTTCGACAGTCGTGTGGCCTGGTGTCCTCCACCCTCTTGGTGCTTTCCCTTTCTGCCACCCCTCGCACTAGCAGGCTGTGGGCCAGACGGGGCCCACAGGCGGGGTACTCTCGGGCCTGGGGTCTTGGTGTTCTCGTGCTGAAGGTGCCAGAGGACTGGAGCCAGCTTCGGTGGACTAAAACTTAGAAAATGAGAGACGCAAACAGTTGTGCAGACAGAGGCTGGCCCGTCACTTAGGGCCCAGCGATATGCTCGTCAGGTGGGATTTGGGTTAGAAAAGATCTGAGGCTTCTGTCAACTCAGAGATGGGGATGGGTGGAGAATTTATTAAATCAGTAAGTATTTATTGAGCGTCTGTTATGTACCAAGCCCTTTTCTAGGCATGTAGGATAGAGTAGTGGACGAAACAAACAGAACACCTGCTTACGTTATAGGAATGGGGAAGTTCAGACAATAAGTAAAACATGTGCCATGTTGAACAGTGATATGAGAATAAATTGAGGCAGGTAGCCATATAATTATCTAGGGGAAGAGCATTGGAGGTAGACACGACAGCAAGTGCAAAGGCTCTGAGGTGGGAATATCCTTAAGTATGTTAGGAGCAGCAAGCAGACCAGAGAGTGCAGAGGACACTCGATGCGGGAGGTAGATCTTAATGAGCAGTATAGGCCATTGTAAGGATTTCAGTTATGTACTGTAAGTGAAATGGAGAATACTGCATAGTTCTGAGCAGAAGGGTAACATAATCATAAAACATTTAGGATGCTTGTGTTCTGCAAGGCTCAGTGCTGAGTACTGGGGGTGCGCACCTGAATTCTTTATCCTCTCTTCCCTGGGAGAGCTTGTAACGTAGTGGAGAAACAGACCAACTGTCAGTCAAGGCTGAGGTAGATAATTGGAGCCCCATGGAGGCAGAATGGACACCATTCCCAAATCCTCAGCATGTAACTATTTGTTAAATGATTGAGTAATTGAATAATTCCAGTACTTGGTCCTGGACCTGTAATGGAGGCTCAGAAAACATTTTTTAATGAAATGAAATGCTAAATCTGGGCATAGATAATGTCTCACACAGATTAAGAAGGTTTGTTTTTCTGTGATGCCCAATTTCATGTTTGCTTTCTGAGAATCACTAGATAGCAAGGCTCTATTCAGTATTTACTGAGCTTCCATTTTGTGCCAGGCCTTGTGCTGGCCACTGAAGATACAGAGATGAAAAAGATATGGTCCCTGCCCAATCTGCTATATTTCAGACTCTTTGGTAGTGGTTGGAATTGCCTTCATTTGATTTTCAATATTGCTGTATCCCAAGATCCTCAGGGACTATAGGAACTTGGGGAGGTCTGAGATACAAGGAGGGGACTAGGAAGAAGGGAATAGGGGTGGTAGTGGTAAAATTCAGTTCAACAAACATTTATTCAAACACTGCTGTTTGCAAGGTTCTACATTGTGAGCTCTTACAGTATTTACGTAAATGTAAGTACACAGTCCTTCCTGCAAAGGAATGCAGTTTGATGAGAGAGAAAACATGAGCACAGACCTTCCAGTTTTCTAAACAGCAACGGAAAACTCAGCAGCCCCTCCAGCTACTTCAACCCTAGCTCTCTTTTCTCCTTCTCAGCCAGACTTCTCCAATGAGACATCTACATTCATTACCTCTTAGTCGTTCCCCAAAAGGGTCTGACAAAGAGGAGGAGCTCAATGGATATTTATTGACTGAACGAATGGACAAACAGATGAGAATACAAAATGCTGTGGAGTTCAGAGGAGGGAAAGCACATGGCTGTTAAACTGGCATTCATTTAACAAATTGGTGTTTTCTCACCCTAATAAAATGAGGTTGTTAGGTGTTGGACCAGTTTATCTTAAAGTTTTCATTTTTCTTTTTTGAATGCCTAAATGCAGAAAAATGCAGATGACTCTGATGATGGGCACAACAAAACTTGCTCAGTCATCTAAAGGAATGGGTATAATGAGACTGGCTATCTTTTCTTAAAGGTATTTCTAATCAACATTGCCATTCATATGTGAACAGTGCAGTGCTTCTGAAATGCTTAAGAATAACTTGGCCTTTTCCTCGTTTTTCTAGAAATAATATGTACACTACTAAATTTTGTGTATGTCTTAAATTCATAGTGACACAGTCAATGGTATAAATAAATACATTAAAATTTGTACTGAGTATTAAAGGACTCCTGAGCATAAGTAAACTTTAGCCTGTGCAGGAAAATGAACACAAATTTCTAATCTGTAATTTTGAAAATCTAGAATGTAATTTACTTGGCCATATTCAGGAATATATCTGGTGGTTAAATGTTTACATGATGTGTGATGAATACCCCAAAACTGCTCAGAAGACTTACCTTTTTAGAAAGCCTGAAAGAACAGCACTGGAAGAGATTGAATAGCCTGTATTTCATGAGTAGTTGCTCCATGTAAGGCAAATGAAATAGGTCTAGTTCTTGCAACAGTCCTGGGATGTAGTATTATCCCATCTCAAAGAACCAGTGACAGAAAGTTAAGTGCTTTGGCTGTTATCCTACTACTCACAGGTAGCAAGCTGGGAAGCATGGCTAAATCCTAGGACTGCTACGTTTCCAGTACAACAGCCTATTATGTCTAAATGAAAAACAACTAGGGGCACCTGAGTGGCTCAGTCAGTTGTGTCCACCTTCAGCTTGGGTCATGATCTCACAGTTCGTGAGTTCGAGCCCCGCCATTGGGCTCTGCTGACAGCAGCCTGGAGCCTGCTAAGGATTCTGTGTCTCCCTCTCTCTCTGCCCCTCCCCTGCTCATATTCTATCTGTCTCTGTCAAAAGTAAACGTTTAAAAAAAATTTTTTTTAAATGAAAAACAACTAAAATTTGGCCTCATTTTGAGCATTTGATGGAGTATAAGAAAACAGTATGAGCTTAACACTAGAAATGTTTGCTAGTAACAGGAGTCAGAACATTAGAGAACTAAATATAATCCTCGGACTCTACTTGTCTCTGTAGTGGGTAATATTTATATAGTTAATATAAATGCAGTTTATTGGTTTACGAATTTTAGAAACCACCAAGAGAATAGACAGAGGCCAAGAGGGTTAATTTTGATGACACATCACAATGTAGAGCCTGTCTTAAATATGTAAAATTAAAGCCTCAGCTTACCAAATTGGAACATTAAGGGTGGAAGAGAGAGAGAAGGCAAGATTAGGGTGTTTATTTTCGGAGCCTAACCTTAAGGAGTCAGAGGGTAATACATAAGATTGTTGAACAAGAAGTAGAAATTTAAAGGATATTCTTAAGCATAGTAAAGATGTCTTCTGGTAATTGTCATGACAGAGGTATGGGTATTGGACTTACCTTCTGATAAAAAAGCTGTAAAACTGGACAGATTATATGAAGAAACTGTTTTCAGCATTGGACAGTAAGCAGGACAAGACTTATCTTTGAGAGAAGTGGATTTGAGATGGACTATTGGCTTAAATGTAAAAACTAAAATTATAAAGGTATTTCTAGAAAGCAACATAGAATATCTCTGTGCTTTTTGGGTAGGCAAAGATTTCTTAGAAGACACAGACAGCATTAACTTTTATAGTTAATAAAAAAATAAAGTTAAAAAGTTAAAGAAATAAAGTTAATTAAAAATGATAAATTAGACTTGGTCAAAATTTAAAATTTCTGCTTAACAAAAGCCTTGTTAAGAAAATGCACGAGCAGGCCACACACTGGGAAAACCGCTTCTCAATACCCATGTCTGAAAAAAGACTTGTATCCAGAAATATGATAAACTTCAACAGTTCATTAATAAAAAGATAATTCAAAAATGAGCAGAAGACTTGATCAGAAATCTTATGAAGATATATTATGAATGGCCAATAAATTACATGAAAAAGTGCTTAATATCATTAACAATCAAAGAAATTCAAATTAAAACACAGCTAGGTTCTACTACACAAGAATGGCCAAGATTAAGAACTCTGGCAACAGCAAATGTTGGTGATGCTGCAGATCATCTAGAAGTCTGATTTGTTGCTGACAGCACTGTAAAGTGGTGCGGTCGCTTTGAGAAACTGATGGCAGTCTTTTGTGAGTTAAATAGGCAACTATCCTATGCCCCATCAACTCTGCTGTTAGGTACTTGGCCAACAGATATGAAGACATACGTCCACAAAAACACTTGTGTGAGAATGTTCTTAGCAACTTTATTCATAGTAGTTCCAAATTGGAAAAATCTCAAATGTTCATCAATAGGGAAATAAATTATGGTATATTCATACAATGGAATTCTGCTCAGCAATTAAAAGGAATAAACTACTAATACATGAAGTAACATGTATGATTCTCAAACACGTTGAGGGGGAAAATGTCAATGTCAGTGTTTGAATCCATTTATATGATGTTTTATAATAGGCACAGTTAATCTATGGTTATAGAAAAAAAACAATGGTTGCTTTTGTCGGGTTATGGGAATGGGATGAAGATTGACTTGCAAAGTGCAGAAGGAAAGGAACATTCTGGAGTGATAGAAATGTTCCATATCTTGGGGCACCTGGGTGGCTCAGTCGGTTAAGCATCCAACTTTGGCTCAGGTCATGATCTTGTGGCTCACAGGTTCAAGCCCCACATTGGTCTCTGTGCTGACAGCTCAGAGCCTGGAGCCTGCTTTGGATTCTCTGTCTCCCTCTCTCTCTGGCCCTTCCCCTCTCAAGCTCTGCCTGCCTCTCTCTCTCTCTCTCTCTCTCTCTCTCTCTCTCTCTCTCTCTCAAAAATAAATAAACATTAAAAAAAAAAAGAATGACTAAAAAGTTTAAAAAAAAAAAAAAGAAATGCTCCATATCTTGATGAGGGTGTAAGTAATACACCTATGCTTTTGTTAAAAACTCATTGAGCTGGTATGTTCTCTCCACACACACAATATTGAGCTGTACCTAACCTTTGGGTTTTACTGTATGTAAAATATACCTCAAAAAAAATTTAAAAGTCAGTGTAACAGAAAAATAAGAGGGGGTATTATGAGTGATTTGAATTCTAGTGTTTCATAGGGAGTTGATAAAAGTTAAAGTTGATTCAAGAAGTAATGGAAAGCATATGATTTCAGGATAAGGAGTTAATTACCGGATGAACTAAAAAGACCTGATTAACAGGTTGGCACTAGAGGTGGAAGGGATTGGAATGAGGATCATTACTTTTCATTATAAATCTTTTTTTTTTTTTTTACCATATGCATGGATCATATTACATACATTTGCTTTTGCAAAGCTATACTTTTCCGAAGATGGTGGAAATGCACTGGACTCAGAGGTGCAGCCATGAACAATGGACATATGTGACACTTAACTGTAGGCTAGAGTGGTTTTTTTAATTTTTAGAGAGAGAGAGTGTGAGTGGGGGAGGGGGCACAGGGAGAAAGTGAGAATCTTAAGCAGGCTCCACACTCAGCCTGGATTCAGACGTAGGGCTCAGTCTCAACAACTGTGAGATCATGACTTGAACTGAAATCGAGAGTCAGACGCTTAACTGAGCCACCCAGGTGCGCCTAGAACATTTTTTACTTATAACCTTTGCAGGGATTTTGAACAGCAGTTTGAAATTATGGCCCTTGTTTAGTGTGCCATAGCAATGGGTTCTCCATAGTTTCCTACCTCAGCACTTCCGATGGATATTAAGTTTTCTCACTGGTGACTGTGGCTTTCAATGCAGTGATACTTAACTGAGTTGGGAGAAGGAATACATAGTTTGGAAAAACAAATTGTGATACATCACTAGCAACCTAGAATTCTTGGTTGGTTTCAGGTAACTCTTCACCATATGTTTTTGGCTAGCTCTTACCTTCCTAGGATATTTCTAGTAGTGGACTTCACATATAGTAGGTGTTCAATAAATGTTTGCTAAAGGAATAGTTCTAAATGTAAACTGAAACATAATGGAGGAGGTGGCTTTTGCCATTTCTGTCCCACCCTCAACTACTACATGCGTTTTGAAGAACACAGTAAATGACTTGACCACCTGTGTCACTGCAGCCGTGAATCATTGGTGATTGCTAGGAGCTGTCAGGAGCTGTGCTTGTCTTCTAAAAAGTGGATTTAGCCTCCTTGGTACGGAAACATTTCTGGGCTGACCCATTTCTCTGGAAGACACAGACACTTTTCTCCATTCAGTAAGTCTGTGTTAATGTTTCCCACATGTCTACTCCTTCAGCAACACAGTAATGCTATTTGACATTGGGATGCAGGGGAATACCTCTGTAGGTGAAATAAGGTGACATCTCACGTAATTGTGCCTTTTTCTGACCTGGGTGAAAAGGACAGAAGACTAAGCACATGGACTGGAAATTGGAAGGGAGTGCTCGGAAAACAGAGTCACGCGTGCTGCAGGAGCAAGAAGTCATCCTAGAGGACACAGGTGAAGACAGCATCTCTGAAAGCTTCCAGCTTCTACAGATTGATGTGGAATGTGAGCATCTGGAGGGAGAGACACTGCCCACAGGCAGTGCAATGTGGTGCTCAGTAAGTGCAGCGAGTTGCCTGGCCGTGGGCTTTGCGATGGTGCTATGTCCCAGAGACCCCTGTTCTGAGGGTAGGTACTAGTACCAAAAAGACTAGGAATGAGTTTGGTGTGCTCCAAAATTGGATGAATTTCCTGCTACTGGTTTAAGGTTTCAGTTCCACTTGAGTCATAAGAAAAGTATATAAAGTGCAAGAGGAATTTTTTTTAAGTTTATTTATTTATTTTGAGAGGGAGAGAGAGAGCACGAGACGGGGAGTGACAGAGAAGGAGAGTGAGAGAATCCCAAGCAGGCTCTGAGCTGTCAAAACAGAGCCCTACGCAGGGCTCGAACCCACAAACTGAGATCATGACCTGAGCTGAAATCAAGAGTCGGACACTTAACCGACTGAGCCAGCTGGGAAGAGGAGTTTTTGATACACCTCAGAAGGGTCAGGAAATCTAAGCTCTGCCTTAGGCCCTGTCCCTAATACATTTACTTCGGGCATATCACTTCTCTTTTCTGGGGCTCTGCTTTCTCTTAACACAATCCAGTCTTTTTTTTTTTTTTTTTTTTTTAAGACTAATATCTTTGTTCTCTCCTAACTTTAAATCTAACTTAAAAAATAATTAAGTAATTGTTTTGAATATTCATTTTCCTTTTTGTTGCTTACAAAGTTCTCAAACAATTTTTTCTCGATGACATAAGAAAAATGTCCAAAGAAAACAGAGACACTGGGAAAAGATAGTTGCAGCAAAGAAGAGCAAAAGAAAGCAAGAAAAAGAAAGAAGAAAGGCCAATCGTGTAGAAAATTCAGGTAAAAATAAATCCGATTGCTGGTGTAGTCATTTATCTCTTTACGGACTAGTATCTGCATGTTCTTAGGAGAGTAGGAATATTGTTTTTAAGGAAAAACAAACCTCTTGGAGGTAGGACCTGTTGTTCTGTTTTTGGGGGAATCAAAGTTTCAAAGACAGAAAAGTTTAAGGCTGCCCTGAAACACATAGTGAACATATGTGTTTATAAGCTCAGAGGTAGAAGGAATGATAACCACAGGAGCTAACGTTTATTGAGTGCTATGTGCTAGGTTCATTGCTAAGAATTTTACATGGCTTACCCTGAGGGGTAGGTGCTTTTATTATCCCCATTTAGTAGGTGAAGAGACTGAGGCTCAGAAATTAAATAATGTGCCTAAGACTATCTAGTAATAAGTAAATGGACTGAACTCTGAGTTAGACTCAGCAATGTACTCCAGAGCCCACACCCCTCACCATTCAGCTGCACCCAAATGAATAAATATCTTGTATGAGTTTCAAGTTTCTCTTTATGTACAAAAAATATCACTTGGCTGGGGAGATTCTTTTCCAACTGAATGTATTCCTCTGTTTTCCCACTTTTACTCCTTTTTGATATTTCTACTTCAGGCATCTGCCCCCAGCACAGCAAACGTTTTCTGAGATCCTTAACCAAGGAGAGACTTTTGGAAGCCAAACACTCAGGACCAAGACTCTGTATTGATTTGAGTATGACCCACCACATGTCTAAGAAGGTAGGACATCCATTAAGCTCTGAATTCCTGCTCACATGAGGGACGTCCAGAAGGGAACAGCTTTGACAAAGAGCAGGACCACTTCCAGCCTCTGTAATTCCGTAGTAAACCAGCAAAAGTGTTTAGTTTTCTCCATATGGCTTCTCAGTTCAAATTGGCTGTTATAAAGAATCAGGAAGAGAATAGATACCCTCTGGTTTAGTCTGCAAATTTTATCTGATCTTCTGTTTTGAGCCCCACCTTGTTGTCTCAGTGTTCATGGTGTCCCCGGTCTAGGTGGAGCCTTTCATGTTCAGTCCTCCAGAAATGAAATCTGGCTTTCTACTGGGGAGAGGAATATTTGCCTAGTTACATGTTGATGAGATGACCTTGTAGGAGGTCTTCCTATAACATATGTGTTTTAATCGTTTTCCATTCACCCCATTGGTAAAGGAGGGATTCCACCCTAGGGTTTTGGGGATGGCTGAAGAAAACACACTTGACATTGGACAGATAAGAATGATAGCAGTTTATTAGTTACGTGTACTCAGCCCAGGGGGAGGAGGACACTGCATGCCATGCAGGACCACATGGGATTATACTTGGGGACAGAATGAACACAGGGGCTGTGGGAGGCAGGCTTTGTATATCATGAGGGTGGTGTACTCCCTGGTTCCTGCAGGAAGATGTGATTAATTTTCTGGGAATAACTCCATGGGCTGGCAGGGAATTGAAACTCACTACTTGGGGATAAGCAGGAACTAGCCTGGTCCCTTTGACAGAAAGGATTGTTTAGCTGGGGGGCCTTGTCTATGGGAGCAGAACTGGGGGAAGAGCTTGCATTTATTTGGACTTTCAGGGCCTACCTGGTTTCACCAGATGTCTAGGAAACACACAGTATTGGGCCTTAATTTTTGGCCTTACACCAAAAACCAGGTTCTTCTGTTTGCCAACATCTCTGTCGTATATGCTGGTGTTTGCGTGTTTTTCAGAGAAACTAGGAGGACTGAAGATTTAGGGTTCGTACATGGAACCTCTAAGTATAGCCCTCTGAAAAGGTCAACCAAGAATTTTCTACTGTTTATTTTAATTGAGATCAGATTAAATCAAATCCAGAGTGTTTTTTTCTCTCCTGACCCAGATCAGGCCAGATTGTGAAACTACTTTTCTTTTTTTTTTTTTTTAATTTTTTTTTTTCAACGTTTATTTATTTTTGGGACAGAGAGAGACAGAGCATGAACGGGGGAGGGGCAGAGAGAGAGGGAGACACAGAATCGGAAACAGGCTCCAGGCTCCGAGCCATCAGCCCAGAGCCTGATGCGGGGCTCGAACTCACGGACCGTGAGATCATGACCTGGCTGAAGTCGGACGCTTAACCGACTGCGCCACCCAGGCGCCCCTGAAACTACTTTTCTTAAGGTGATGTCTCTGAATCAGGATGGAAAGTTAAAACCTCTGACCCTGTTACATCTCCTAGAGTTAGGGTAAGGTGCCAATTTTATTTGATGGAGTATAAAACATGTCTGTTTAGTAATCTAACCTTTTAAAAATAAACAGTAAATATCACATGGTAAAATTTTAGATATGAGCTAAAAGAACAATTCCATATATCATATTAGATATATAACAGCAGGTCCAGAGGAGAGAGAGTTCAGAGTCTTTCCATTAACTCACTATTTTTGGGCTAGTATCATTACCTTAACTTTGATCTATAAGGTGTGTGTGCCATGGAGTGTAACATGCATGCTCACATATACCCTCCGTACTCATTCTTGGAGTAAAAGGGGCCATTCTAGTTCATTCAGGTTTCTCAGAGTAGCATTCAGTGAACTTACTGAGTAACCATTTGTTTTGTTGTGTTTTGTTTTGTTTTGTTTTGTTTTATGGTATGGTATGGTTTTTTGTTTTTTTGTTTATTTGTTTGTTTTTTTGAGAGGGAACGTGTGAGCCCGGGAGGGGTAGAGAGAGAGGGAGAGAGTGAGAGAGAGGGAGGGAGGGAGGGAGGGAGAGAGAGAGAGAGAGAGAGAGAGAGAGAGAGAGAATCTCAAGCAGGCTCCACACTGTCAGTGCAGAGCCCAGCACAGGGCTCAGACTCATGAACTGTGAGATCATGACCTGAGCCAAAATCAAGAGTTAGATGCTTAACGAACTGAGCCATCCAGGCATCCCTAACCATTTGTTGGTAGTGAATTTAGAAAGAGTGGGCATGCTTCTAGTCTGAGTTGTCGTTATTTCTTTGAAGGAGTTAAGTAGACTGGCTGGACAGATCCGAAGGTTGTATGGTTCAAATAAAAAAGCTGACAGGCCATTTTGGATCTACCTCACTGGATTCACAACAGACAGTCACCTGTATGAAGAGTGTTTGAGGATGAATGATGGATTTTCTAGTTACCTGGTAAGCCTCATTTTGCATATTACTTGAAGTGTCATTTGAAAAGTAGATTGTATGATAATAGTAAATTTTTTTTAACTTTTTCGTATTTTTATATAAAAATATACGAATTCTATATTTTCACTATTGCAATCTAAAAAACTTTAGAATCTCTCATCAGTTCTTCTGTTTCTAAACTTTCATCCTTCCACTGCATTGGCAGACTAATATTACCAGGTATCTAGGACTGTATTTTGTATTCTGTGTGTTGTATGCTAGACTGTATACTCCACAAACGTTTTGGGGGAAATGCTGTGACTCCTTTCTTGTTTACAGTAGTGCATAATTAGGGAGCATGAGTTATGGGGGAAGAGAAAATCCTTATGAGAGTAATGTGGACTCAAGGTGAGTTTTAGGGAGCATTCAGTTACTTTTTATCTCTTTCCCTAGGGTCCCATGAATGTGGTGATCATAATACAGGCAACAATCCAGAACACTTCCTAAGAAGTGCCACTAAAAATGTCTTGTGTGTTTGTGTTATGTAGCTGGGACTGGGTGGTGTGGACTTTTCCTAGGGAGGTTCACAGAGGAAGAGAGTATGAAACGTGCCCTGTGTGGTCCTGCAGTTAGTTGTGGTCGCTGTTACTGTCTGAGTGTCTCTCCTACAGTACAGCCAGTTCCTGCTTCTCTTCTCTGTGCGGGTTTTATGATTCTCGTACGTGAGCCCCACAGACCCACTCTTAGGGTCACCTGGTTCCCTTGCTTTCCCATCTTCATGCCTTTCTTAGGTGATTCTCCCCATTTTCATTGCTACTTCCTTTTGTATGTGTCTATCTCATCTCTTTTCAGAAACCAAGTTCCAGCATTCCCTTCATTAGAAGGTTGTCCCTGGTGTTGTCACTCCCTCATCTGTTGTCCTGGGGCGTGCTTCCTGTACATCTGTTAGGGTGTTGTATTACTTTCTATCTTGTTTTGTGGAATGTCCTTTCTACTTCCTCTCCCCATTGAAGTACGTTGTGAGAACAGATTGTCAGACATGTGTCCCCTTGATGCACTTAGAGCCATGCCTAACAGAGAATTGATGCCTGGTAACTAGATGCTGCAGTGTGGGCTGTGTCTTAACCTAGTTCACACTACATTGGATTATTTACATTTTTCAGCTAGACATAACAGAGGAAGACTGCTTTAGTTTATTTCCTCTGGAAACCCTTGTGTACCTGACTCCTGATTCAGAACATGGTATGTACTTTCCTGCATGGATTCATGTAGCACTTTGTTCTAAACCCTGTGTTTGATTATCCCCTGTGTCAGAATTTATTAAAGCCACCCAAGGTGTATCAAAAAAAACAAAAGGAATGAACATTAATTGCACACCTCTTATGGGTGTATACCTCACTACACTTTGCACATGTCCTACTATGTGTGCACAGCTGCACAGATCTAGGGTCTCCAGCCTCATTGGATATTGTGACCTACCTGGTAGTCTTTTCCAGTTTCCCTGGTCAGCTCCCCTCCTTGGCCCTTCTTGGATCAATGTTAGATATGTGTTTTTTCCAGAAAATCAACTATTTCACATACTTTTCAAATTTATTGGTATTAAGTTGATCTTAGTATTCTTTCCTAATTATTTCACATTCCTCTGTAATTTTTATTTTGTCTCCTTTATGAATCCTAATGTTGGTTTGAGTCGACTGCCTTTTTTTTCTTGGTTAGATATGCCAAAGCTTTGTCTTTTGAGAAAATTAGCAAATCTATTACCTTTTTGTTTCCTACTTTATTAAATTTCTACTTTTATCATTAATAATTCTTTCCTTTTACTTTCTTTGGCTTTAGAAATTATAAAACAGATTTGATCTCAATGGCCTTCATTTTTTCATTAGCTCTTGAAGATGTTGATCTAAACAAAGTTTACATCCTTGGTGGACTTGTGGACGAAAGCATCCAGAAGGTAAACGTGCATTTTAGACCTAACAGCTATATTTTGAAAAGTGGGGCTTCCTTTCAGAGGTAGCTGCCCTATCATAATCTTACCCAAAAGGCCTAAGAACTCAGAATAGGAAGAAGGAACCTCTCCTGCCTCAGCTGGCCCTCCTGCTTGTGAAATTCCCTTTCTCATCAATGTTAGTGATCCTGACCTGGCAGTCCAGTCAGGAACTGGCATGGGGAGTGTTTGGTAATTACATAAAGAGCCGTTGTTGAATTTCTTTTCTCCTGTCTTCAGTTCTGCAAGGATAACTCTGATCTTGACCAAGGAAGCATTGATTCAGCATTCTTACCACCTAATTGTTCTTTATGAGAGTGGAGTTTGTTCCTTCTTAGGCCGTCTTTTCTGCTGACATAAGTTTTATCCTATAATTTTGATGTCAGTAAGACTGTGCGGATTTCTTTTGTTGAGTTGGAATTTTATTGGAATAATTGGAGTTTTGAAATATATTTCTATTATACACACATTTGTTGAGATAATTATTATTAGTTTATATCACTAACATATTGCATACACAATAAATAATGATATAATAAGGTCTATAAAAAGAACTACAGTGAGAAATAAGTCTCCCTCCTATCCTTGTCCTACAGTGCCCCCCACCTGAGCCAACCACTATTTTCTTGTGTATACTTCTTGGTATAATCTATGATCACACAAGTGTTTGTGGGTATATTACATATATGTATTTTTTAATATATGTGAGTGTATTTTGGATATTTTTTCATATCTGTAGAGATATACACACATATTTAATACAGGTGATACTTTTTTTAAAAATTTCTTAATGTTTTATTTAGTTTTGACTGAGAGAAAGAGAGACAGAGCATGAGCGGGGGAGGGGCAGAGAGAGAGGGAGACACAGAATCCGAAGCAGGCTCCAGGCTCTGAGCTGTCAGCACAGAGCCCGACGCGGGGCTCAAACTCACGGACTGCGAGATCACGACCTGAGCCGAAGTCGGACACTTAACCGACTGAGCCACCCAGGCACCCCAATACAGGTGATACTTAACTGAATTGCATTTATTCTAAAAAGGTCAGTGTTCTGGGGTGCCTGTGTAGCTCAGTTGGTGGAATGTCTGACTCTTGGTTTTGGCTCAGGTCATAATCCCAGGGTCGTGGGATCGAGCTCCTCATTGGGCTCTGTGCTGAGTGTGGAGCCTGCTTAGGATTCTCTCTCCCTCCCTGTCTCTCCCTCTGCCACTCTCCCCCACTCTCTCTCTCAAATAAATAAAATGAAAAAAAAAAAAAGTCAGCATTCCATGATTCATAGTGATAATCTAAAAAACAGGTGGGGGCTGGAGATAGAAGAATGCTAGAATGCTGGGTGTTAGGAGCGCCTGGGTGGCTCAGTCAGTTAAACATCTGACTCTTGATCTCGGCTCAGGTCATGATCTCCTGGTTTGTGAGACGCAGCCCCGCATCAGGCTCTGCACTGACAGTGCAGAGCTTGCTTGGGATGCTCTCTCCCTCTCTATGTGTGTCCCCTGCTCGCGCGTACCCTCTTTCTCTCTCAAAATAAATAAACATTAAAAAAAAAAAAAGAATGCCAGCTGTTAAATGAGAAATACATAATAGAATTGAAAAATCATTATTTTGTTACTCCCAGTATAATCACTGATTGACGGAACTGATTGAACAAAAAGCGTGGGAGAACTGGCTATTCACACAGTCTCCCAAATGTTGCCCCACACATCACAAAGGCACAAATGTGCCATTACAATGAAGTGAACTGGAGGTCACCATCTTACCAGATGTCCAAACTTAGAATCACCAGTGTTGACACTATGTGCCTCCCAATGTGATGGAATCTCACTTGCAAAGTGTTCTTACTGAAAACTGTTTAAACTACATTTAGTCATGAAGAAACAGGATGTGAGGCATTCTGCAAAACAGTTGGACCACATTTAAAAAAAAAACCAGTGTAATGAAAACGGAAATAGTTAGGGGGCTGTTATAGATTAAAAGAGATTAAAGAGACATAACAGCCAAATGCAGTCTCCCACAGCAGAGTGATAGCTTTTTCTTTTGAGTCAGAAAAGTCTAGAAGGTCAGTGAGCAGGGTACGATCAGTGATGTGCAGTTTTAATACATTGTCTTCTCTTATCGCTCCAGTCGTGTTTAAACTGAAAAATAATTGGCACAATGATTTGCCACACGTATAGAACTTTTTGGTTGTTACTGCAGAGTTTGGCTTTCACACAGAAAATATGCTGAGAACATTTCTTCAAGGGGAATCGTTTTATCTTTAAATGTTCAGAGGAGCAGAATCTAGACTGTGAGCTCCTCCAGGGCAGCATCCAAGTCTCTTACTAACTTTGAATTCTTGTACTCCAGTTCAAAATGATTGTAAAAGAATAGACTTAAAACAAAAAAAACCCCACCTAGACCATATATGCAAAGGGATGTTATTCTTCAAAGAAGGCTTTTGAGCAGCTGTACCTTTATGTTATGTGAATCGCATCACATAACACATTTTGGAAGTTCTCTCTTGGAATTGTTTTATGTGAGTCTGAGAAGCAGGTGGTCCAGTGTCAGGACAGAGGTGCTAGGTCTGCTTCATGCTGCTCCAGCTGGTCAGACCACACTGTTGGTGGCCAGTCGATCATGACACAGTGGGAAAGGACAGTGACAAGCTGCAACAAATTCAGATGAGTTTGGCCTGAATGATGAAGAGACTCAAGGGGGAGGCGACAGAACTGAGACTGCCAGAAGGATGCACAGGGCATGATCCCTGCTGTGGAGTACCTGAATGGCCGTCTTGTGGAAGAGACATTTTACTTGCTTGGTATGGTCCTGGGGCGATGGGACTAGAAAAATTAGTGGAAGGCTCAGGGAAAACAGAAAATTTGGCTCCCTGTCAAGAATTTCCTATTAATCCATACTGTCAAAAGTAGAATAGGTTTCCCCAGGATGCCTGTCCTAAGGATTGTCCCTTTCAGGACAGAGGCCACTTGGAAGAGAGGCCATAAGGATAGACCAACATTGGATAGATGATCGGAATAGAATAATTAACTATTGAGGCCCCTTCCAATAGTTAACTATTGGAAGTAATCTATACCAGTAATCTAACCAGTAATCTAAACCTTTCTTTTTAATCCTGAAATTGTAAGTAGGTAGATGATCTCTCCAGAGCTTCTTACGAAGTGGCAAATATAATTTAAATTTGAGTTCATGACTCAGGAACATCTTTAAAGGGATATTAGTTATTGTACTCTGACCCTAAATGGCCTCAGATTTGGGGGGTTTTTTAGTTTTTATGACTGCTTTCTGCAGTTTTCAGATCCCTTCCTTTTACTTGGGCTGAGTGCTCTCACACCTTATTGCTGTTTTGTATGTGACTTGAATCCCTTCTCCCTTTTCTCTGATTTGCTGCTGTCAAATGGCTATGGGCTGAAAACTCCAGATCCAGAATTACATCTTACCGACTTAGGGTCAGGAGTGTTCTCCTCTGGTTGATTAGATTGCTTGAACTTTTGGATGCAGATTGTGGCTGCAAATAAATATGCCTCCTTTTACTTATTTCCTTCTTGGTTGTAAATAGTAATAAATGGAAGCTAGTAGATAGATGACTCCCAAGTGAGTGAGATGTCTGCTGCACAAGCCATTTCTTACTTAGAACAGGTAAATACTCTTCATTGTCTGCAGTTCCTTCATTCTCCCTTAGGCTACTGATTTTTAATACTTACCATTTAATTATGATTACAGATGATCATAATTATACAGATGGAAATTGGAGTGGTGGTAAATGGGGTTTCTCATAATTTGCTATGCATATTACAATGAGAATATCTTTATCATTTTCACCAGAAAAATATTTAACTGTGATTTACAGAAGGTGACATTTCAAAAAGCCCAAGAGCACTCTGTCAAGACAGCCCGCTTGCCAATCCAGGAGTACATGGTCAGATGCCAGAATCGGAAAAACTATCATTCAGAGATCTTGGCCATCAATCAAGGTACTGCTTACATGGCCCACGCTTTTTTTTTTTTTTTTAAGTTTATTTATTTAATTTGAGAGAGACAGCGTGAGTGGGGGAAGGGCAGAGAGAAAGGGAGAGAGAGAGAGAGAGAGAGAGAGAGAGAGAGAGAGAGAGAGAGAATCCCAAGCAGACTCCATGTGGTCAGCGCAGAGCCTGATGGCTCAAACCCATGAAACTGTGAGATCATGACCTGAGCTGGACGCTTAACTGACTGAGCCACCCAGGCGCCCCTCACTTGGCCCACATTTAACATGTGTTAATTCTGGTGCTGCTCCTTTGCATTATGTTTACATATGAGCAGACCTCAAAGCAGTACCCCGTGACTAATGTGCTCAGATTTTATTGCATGCAGTTTGTGACAAGTATTCTAGCCTCTCAGATGCACTTGGCATTTTCTTCCTGGATCCCAACCAACTATGTTAAAGATGGGTGAAATTGTCCACTTGGCCTAGAATGCGGTGTTCAACCCATCAGTGAACTGTGAAGTCCTATTTGTCCAGAATTCAGTCCAGGAGCATCTTGGCTGCTCCCTTCCCCCTCTCAGCCATTCAGAGACCCTCCTTTGTGTTCCATTGTACTGTTTTCCTCTCAGTGCTGCGGCACTGTCCATTCACAGGCTCGTCATCTCTCCATGTTAGCTGAGGTCCTTGTGGCAAGAGGGTCCGTGTGTGGTGCACAGGTTTGTTAAATGAAATATTCCAGAACACCCTTTTCCTCATCAGTCATTTACTACTTTTTTCTCAGTGTGGTCACTATTTTCTTTTTACCCTCTAACAGTCTTTGATATCCTATCTGCATACTTTGAGACTCAAAACTGGCCTGAAGCATTGAAGAAAGGAGTTTCTTCCAGAAAAGGCTACGTTCTTCAGAACTCAGTGGAGTGATGGACAGACAGCCTAAGAAGTTGCAGGGGTGGGGAAGTTGCTGAAGGTGCCTTGACCGAAAAGCAGAGCAGAGGGTGGCGATGGCACACACTTGCCTTTACTTCACATCTTGGATCTTCACTAGAATATAAGTTACTAATAACAGGGACCACATTTTACACTCTTTTCTATCTCTGAGTGCCTGGCTCACAGGAAGAGCCCAGATATATCACTAAGTAAAAAGTTTACATAACCAGGAATTAGCCCAAAACTACATGGCTTTGGATGTATTAATTCATCTTTTATGTACCTATTTGTGAAATACCTATTCTTTAGAGATAGCTTAAATAATTAAATAATTATTATTATATCGAGTTTAATTTTCACTCAACTGGTATCAAGTTGTAGCACTTTCTCCAGCCTCCTCTGTTCATGGTGATTTTCCCCAACTCAGCGATACACTCTATGTGTTTTGCAGGATCCTAACCTAGCCCTGCTTTAAGCCCCCATAGCACTTTGCTCCCACTTGTAGCTCCCACCCTGTCTCTCCTGCTCTGAGTATGGAGTGGAGGGTTTCTCTCTTCCTAAAGGTAGCCTCCTAACAGGACACTTTGTGGGAGTATCTTTGTATCTTTCTGAGCCTTGTGCAAACTAGTTTCTTCATATATATTTATAATCAACAGGCAGAATTGAAGAGCAAAAATACAGTATTGGTAAGTCTAACTTAAAAATAACCAGAAAAGAAAAAAAGTAACCAGAAAATACATTGCCTCTGACGCAAGTATGTTGGATAACCTTTCATTACACAATCTCAGTGATCCCTTTTCTCAGGTCTTAGTTACATATAGTTGCTTCAGTTACTCTGGCCAGCTTGGGTTAGTAAACTTGAAAGCTAAGCAGTTAGCAAATTCAGAGAATATATTCTGTAGCTCCAAAGAACCAAAACGTTATTTCTCTGCTCTCTCCCCTCCCTTTCATGATTTAATCCTAAAGGAGCTATCATCACTTGATAAATTCTATCAATATCTTTGTATTAAAAACAGCCCTCTTCAGGAAACATCTTTAGGAATATATAATGCTCCTTGGTCTTTATCACTGTATTAAATGAGTTCTATAATCTCTGTCATCCAAAAGGGACCTCCTATGGCTAGGCTTCAGGGGTGACTCTTATCATACTCTCAGGGAGGTCTCTGGCCTCCGAACACTGACCTGGATCATCTGCCAGGCATTTTTACCTCTAAAGACTTTGCTTACAATAATCAAATGGCATGGAAGAATTTCCTCTCCAACGCTATCACTTCTACCATTTTTTTTAAAGCCTAGGCAGGAAGTTTTGGACTTGGCTTCAGAGATCCTCATCTGTGTTATTTACAGAACCAACAAAAAGCTGGATATATGCAAAATATCCTAACATGAACATTAAATATTCTATAACTGTTTCATTTTTAATAGCAATCATATAAGAAATACATCAAACATTGAAGTGGACAAAGATTACAAAGTACTATATAAAGTATAATCCTATAATTTCAGTTTAAAGAATATTCACATACATTATGTCTATAGTGCATTTGCTTCTTTATACTTTATGTATTCTCATTTTCTCTGGTGAACATGTTTTACTTTTACCAGAAAATAATTGTTATTTTAATGCTTAATTCCAGTTTATTATAGAAGCTGCACTTCAGCCAAATTAAAGGAGTTACACCAAATAAACCTTAATACTTTTAGTAAACTTTATTGTAAAGAAAAAAGTACATCATTATTTTATAATGACTTTTCTCACCCACAAGAACATGGGTGGCAACTAGTAACATGTTTATAAAAATATTTTACTTAGAACTGTAATAAGACAATGTGTACATTCACATTATGTCTTCTGACGGTTTAATGGGGAGAGAGAGGTTCACCTGAAAAAAATTTTCCCTAGGAAACCCATAGTCTCTTGGGTCAACTGACCCATAAAAAATTACATCTAACTTTCTGCCAGTCTGGAGAAGATTTGTTTTCTTTGATCTGCTGTCATATGTTCACAAGCTTCCAAAATGTTTGCCAAAATTAAGGTCTGCTGAATGGTTTTTGCCTTAACCCATATTCTTCCATTCATTCCAAATACTATCTCCAGTGGGTAGAGTTTTCCCACTTCCTGAAGGATTTCACAGTCTGGAGCCAGCAGCCTGGTGAGGAAAAGGAAAGAAAATGAAATTTAACCAAGTGGTAGGGTGTGACCTGAGTCTCTTTTAGCAGAAGACTTAGTTTCTGGATAGTTCTCCATAGTTATTCAAATCCCCACCAACATCATCCAAGAAAAAGGTACATGACATTTGCTGCCCCCTTTCATCCAAGCACACTTAACCAGTACACTACAGGTCACAACAGTGGGTTATATCCTCTACAAAGAAATCAAAGTCCCTCTGTCACCAACTTTACAGAAAATACATACAAAGTTCTCCTGTATCGTCAGAGCACCTTAATTCTAGGCTGTAGAATTGTAACTTTTGTATTATCTATGGTGCTAAACAAACCAGCTTATTTTGCTGACCACGTAAGCTATTTCCTGGTATTAAATTCAGTACTTGGAGAGAAACATTGACTTTCAAACCACAAGGGTGCTGCTTCTCTGTCTTGAACTTTGTCCAAATCTGCAGAATAAGTAGCAAAGAGAGGCATGTAACACTGAGCTCTGAGCTCAGTGGCTCTAAGAGTAAAGCTCTTTTAGCAGGACATAACTTTGGGTAGGTAAAGGTCTAAACACCTAACAGAATCTACCTCTGGGAACTATTAAATCTACCAGGACAGAATAGCAGGAATCTTACGGGAATATCTGCATAAGCTTCAAGAGTACATCAGCCTACCTGTATTTGGCCCCCATTACTAGAGAAATCTGGTGATTTTGTACAATTGTAAATTGCGTCTATATTCAAATGACTTAGGAGGAGGAAAGGCCAGTTTTCACATCTGATTTTCTGGGAAAGAAGCCCAAGACTTCATATCAACACAAAAACTACACCACCAGATACATCTGAATTTAGTGTATTTACATGAAGAGAGGATGGGACTAAATGCATGAGTGTACAATGGTGTTAAAATGGACACTGATTTTTAACTTTGAGGAGATTCAGACATTGTTACAAAGAATCCAATCCCAAAAATCAGTCAGCTTTCCAAGGATAATTATAAAAGAAGACAGTCAAGCCAGAAGGCATTAGGACTTACTTTCTAATTAAGCCCAAAGTCACTTTAAAAAGCAGACCATCCTGTCCAATCACACCCATTCCATTGGCTCGTCCACAGCTGTCAATACAGACCATCTCTGGTTCCATATCTTTATTAGCAACCACAAATTGGCCATAGATGAGATCTCCAACCTAAAATGATAATTTAAAAAGTTCATTTCCACTCAACAAATCATTCTATAGGTGCTGCTATGGGTTCTTTCCCGTTGGCAGCAATGCCTGCCATGTATACTTCTGTGCCTAAGGGACCAACTATCTTCCAGAATACCCAGAGTCACTCGAGTTGACTCTTTAAAAAGGCAACATTACCCAAGTGTGTCCTCCCCAGAATGGGAGCTATCTCAAAGACAAGAGAACATTCTTTAGGGTTACGCCATCCAATATGGTAGCCATTACCCACATGTAGTTATTTAAACTTACATTTAATTAAAATTAGATCCTCAAAATTCAGTTCCTCAATTTCATTAGTCACATTTTTAAAAGTTATTTTTTTGAGAGAGAATGCACGTACATGCATGGACAAGGGGCAGAAAGAGAGAGAGAGAGAATCTTAAGCAGGCTCCATGCCCAGCATGGAGCCCAATGCAGGGCTCAATCTAGTGACCATGAGATTATGACCTGAGCCAAAATCAAGAGTCCGTACTTAACCCACCAAGCCCCTCAAGCGCCCAGCATTAGCCGCATTTCAATGCTCAACAGCCATGACATGGCCAGTGACTACCATACTAGTCAGTGCAAATGTAAAACACTAGCATCATCACAGAAAGTTCTATTAGATCACACTACTCTAGGGACTTACAGAAGATTGGTGGAAGAAAACTCCAGGCATGTCAATTATTCAAAGCAACATGGAACAATGGTAATTCATTGGTATTTAAGGCAAGATTTACTTAACTTCATAGAACTGAACTTCAAAATGATGAAACTAAAGGAATGGAGAAGAGTGAATTTGTTCTGTTACTATATCTACTATTTGTTGGTGACTAGCAACTAAAGAGGAAAAAAAATTCTTTGCATTTCAGAAGCATTTGGTCTTGGAGGGCAGTGGGGATGTACATATAAATAACCAAGTTCATTTAAGACTGAATCCAGTAGGTGCTAGAGTAAAGTTATAAGGAAAATGATTGTAAATGAGGGATGGTTTTACAGAGATGATGGTGTTTAGCCTGAGTCTCAAAAGATGAGCATGTGTTCCATAGGCTAAGGTAATAGAGCAATCAGAAAAAGCAATCCAGACAGAGGGAACAGCATAAGCAAAGGTACAAGGGCAGGGACTTATGAGTTCAGTAGTGCTATTTTTTTTTTTTTATAAGGTAGATTTATTTTGAGAGAGGGGGAGAGAGCACGAGCAGAGGAGGGGCAGAGAGAATCCCAAGCAGGCTCTGCACAGTGTGGAACCTGACATAGGGCTCAAACCCACGAACTGTAAGATCATGACCTGAGATGAAATCAACAGTAGGATGCTTGACTGACTGAGCCACCCAGGCACCCCTCAGTAGTGTTATTAAATAGTTTGGAGTGGTTCAAGTATGGCTGCACGGAGGATATAATTATAGATAAGTGAAGACTTCTGGAGTATAATGCCAAGGAAATCTGTAGGCGTTAAAGATTTTTTTTTTTTTTTTTTTTGAGTAAGGGGAGTGTATGAGACTGTCAGCTCTCAAAAGCCTGGATAGAAGGGCAAAAGTGTACAGGCAGGGATGTTAATGAAAAGATCACTGAAGTACCTGGTTAGCTTGGCTGGTTAGGCACTGGGCTCTGTGCTGATGGTGCAAAGCCTGCTTGGGATTCTCTCTCTCTCCCTCTCTCTGTCTCTTCCCCACTCACACACGCACTCTCTCTCTCAATAAATATTTTTTTAAAAAAGGAGGTCACTAACCAATACTGGTCAAAAAGTAGCTAACGTCTGATCTTGAAAAATGGAAGGATACAGGAATTAATGTGCAGAAGATCAGAGATAGAATCAAACAGCATCAGTAAGATTAAGCAACTAAAGACACATGAGAGGTTAGTGAAAAGGGGCAAAGGCATCGCCAAATTTCTGGCTTGGGCAGACAGAGAGAGTGTGGCTACACTACCAGAAGAGTCCAAATTGAAAACCTGAAGTAACAGGATTGCTCCTCTGCCAGCTCCAAGCAG